CGGCCTGACCGCTCCCTGCGCTGCCCTCTCCCCGCAGGAGGCCGATGGCACGCTGGACTGCATCAGCATGGCCCTGACCTGCACCTTCAACCGCTGGGGCACGCTGCTCGCCGTGGGCTGCAACGACGGCCGCATCGTCATCTGGGACTTCCTGACCAGGGGCATCGCCAAAATCATAAGCGCTCACATTCACCCCGTCTGCTCCTTATGGTGAGAAAGGGCTCGCTTTTTCCTGAGAACACCCGCACTCAGTGTTTCCTTGGAATTGAGCTCGTAGCCTACGCGCTAGGCATGAAAGGCTGTTGTCGGTTTTGTTAGAATTTGGCCATACCTGTGCTTGCTGAGCATCAGGCGCTCAGATACCCTGCGGGCGCTTATCGCCGGGGTGTGTTGATGATGGAAATGCTAGCCCCTTGCGTGATGCTTGGTTATATTTTGGGATCACTTTCCTTTAAGAGAGTTTGGAAATGAGTTATTCCTACTCAGTTTTTGGCCGTTAGAATCATAGAATCCCTGGGTTGGAAAAGACCTTAGAGATCATCCCGTCCAACCGTATCTGTCCACCACTAAACCATATCTCTCAGCACCTCATCCACCCGTCTCTTAAACACATCCAGGGATGGTGACTCCACCACCTCCCTGGGCAGCCTGTTCCAGTGTGTGATAACCCTTTCGGTGAAGAACTTCTTCCTTACGTCCAATCTAAACCTCCCCTGGCGCAGCTTGAGTCCATTCCCCCTCGTCCGATCATCTGTCATTAGGGAGAAGAGACCAACACCCACTTCTCCACAACCTCCTTTCAGGGAGCTGTAGGCAGTGATCAGGTCTCCTCTCAGCCTCCTCTTCTCCAGGCTAAACAAGCCCAGTTCCCTCAGTCACTCCTCATAAGACATATTCTCCAGACCCTAACCAGTTAGGTTATTTTTCGGGCTAGCAGATTTATACCGGAGCCTGATAAGTTGGTCTGACAAGCCTGGGTGTGTCTTACACGTTTAAAGAGTAATTCTTACTCGAACTTGCTCTCGTTACTCTAGCTGGAGTCGAGATGGTCACAAACTGGTGAGTGCTTCGACCGATAACATTGTGTCACAGTGGGATGTGCTCTCTGGAGACTGCGACCAGAGGTTTCGATTTCCTTCGCCTATCTTGAAAGTTCAGTACCACCCTCGAGACCAGTAAGTCCTGTGAAAAAAGGGTAGAGCTGCTCTCGTTTTGGTAGACCTAATGGTTATTAAAATGCTTCTGCTGCTATTTACAAAGTGATTTTTTCTAAATAATAGAGGGTTGTGGTGTATCTTCTTGTGATTAGGATCCTAACTGGATTTGTTGTGTCTCTCTTTATTATGAAAATATGAGGACGGGAGGAGAGTAACCAAGGGAATGGTACTTGGAAATGTGTATAGACATGGCTTATTGGGTTTACAAGTTACTGCATACACTTGGAAAAGCTTCCAGAGAACAAAAGGAAATCAGAATAAAAACCAGCTTAATGTTGTTTTGTAACATGAATAAAATAATAAAAATACAGAGGTATTCTTTATTTTTTGGTATAAGTTGAGATGTTTTATCCTGCCTCTAAATGTGAAAAATCATTTCCAGAGAAGAAATCACCTTCTCTTCTTTTTCTGCTTTGCAGAAACAGAGTTTTGGTTTGTCCCATGAAGTCAGCGCCGGTGATGCTAACGCTGTCAGACTCCAAACACGTTGTCCTGCCTGTGGATGACGATTCTGATCTCAATGTTGTGGCCTCCTTTGACAGGCGAGGGGAATACATTTATACGGGCAATGCCAAGGGGAAGGTGAGATTTAGCAGGTGGCACCGGATGCAGTGGCTTAGATTCCTTCTGGTCTTTATCAAGAAGCTTGATGTTTCTGTGGTTTAATATACAAATAAGGCGTCTGAAATGTCTTTTGCATAACTGATACTGTGTGGATGTGGTCTGAATAGAGAGAGCATCACACTTTACCTTTGAAGATCTCCAGACTGTAATCTTGGTCTGAATTGGGTCGTTGTGCTGCTTTTGTCTTTTTGGATCCCTTCCCACTGTAAATGAACCAATATTTACATCACAGCACTGTCACACAAACTGTAGTAGAACAAAACTTGCAGAATCCCAACTATTCCTGTGTAGATTGCTGACGCTTTTGTCAAGGTTAGGTGATGTGAAAGGTCCCAAAAGGGGAATGAGTTGGATCGAAGCCACTGATTGCCGTCTGTCTCCTTAATCTTCAGATCTTGGTCTTAAAAACAGACACTCAGGATCTTGTTGCTTCCTTCAGAGTGACAACTGGAACCAGCAACACCACAGCTATTAAATCGATCGAATTTGCTCGGAAGGGAAGGTGAGTTACTTCATCTGCCCTGCAGTGTCTTTGAGGATGAACAGAAAACTGTAGGGTAGATTCAGAGAGCACCTGAGGTCTTGAACTCCCACCCCCCCAGTTCTTTGGGAGAACATATCCCGAGTAGTTTTGGTTTTTTAGTCTTGTAATGCGATGCATGTTCTGTCCCCTCCTCCCTGCAGCTGCTTTTTAATAAACACAGCGGACCGGATAATCAGGGTGTACGACGGCAGAGAAATTCTGACTTGTGGGCGAGATGGGGAGCCTGAACCGATGCAGAAGCTGCAGGATTTAGTGAACAGGTAAAAGGCAGCAGAAGGGGCAGTTCGGGATCTTACTCGGTCTGATGGACAGAAGTTTTCATTTGAAACCCTTCTGTCACAATTTGATGTGAGGTTTAAATATTATTTACGGATGGGAGTGTGCAAGACCTCGGTGTGAAGAACGATCCCTCTGTGCTGTGCTGTCGTTGGACCGTTTAACTTGCGCTGCCGTCTTTGCACGCAGGACGCCGTGGAAGAAGTGCTGCTTCTCCGGTGACGGTGAATACATAGTGGCGGGTTCAGCACGACAGCATGCCCTGTACATCTGGGAGAAGAGCATAGGAAACCTCGTGAAGATCCTCCACGGGACCCGGGGAGAGCTGCTCTTGGATGTCGCAGTAAGAACGCTGTCTGCCATTTCCATGTCTGCTGGTATTGCAAAATTAAGCTTTCTTGATTCCATTTACCAATTAAGCTCCTCCTCTTTCCTCTTTCAAATAAATCTAGTGGCATCCTGTCCGACCGATCATAGCTTCGATTTCGAGTGGTGTTGTGTCGATATGGGCTCAGAATCAAGTGGTAAGTGCTTTACATCGTTTCCTGAAGAGGATTCCCCGGTGGTCTCCATCCGAGTAGACCAAGTGGCTGGCTGCATGATGAAACCCTTTATTTACATCCCCGTTCA